ATCAAGGTATCGCCTGTGTTCTTGGATCATGGCTTTGACGGCGAAAGACCTTCACGAGCAGTATGGCCCTGAGCTGTCGCGGCCTCCCTTGGCCGACTGCGAGAGTGCGTATTATTTGCATCAGGCGCTCCGGGCAAAGGGTATCAATGCTAGTCACCAGGCGTGCAAGACTTGGTGGGCCAAGTATCGGGTTGTGACTGGCACGGTCAGTATTTCTAGCGCCAAGGAGCTGGAGGAGCAGCACGGCTCTGCCATCCGCCACCTGGGCATTGAGTATAATACCGCTTTCAAATTATGCCGGGCGCTCCGACAGTTGGATCCACCACTGTATGTGCCAGATAGGGTCGCAACGGCGTGGCTACTGCAGTATTCATCCAAAGACACGCTTGTCCAAGTGCAGAACGCTGGCCACTTGGAGACCTGGTATGGAGAACGTATTCGCAAAGACATGCCCGAGGGGACCACTGACGGGGCCGTCTTGAAGCAGTGGCTCCTGGGACATTTATCTGTATCTGCTAACGCCAGGGTATGCCAGAAGTGGCTCAGCACGGAGTGGGGCGCCAAGGGGGCATTGAACACTGCCCAAGCTGTGGAGGAATGTATGGGCGAGCGTCTTCGACTCAATCAGTATCGGGAGAGCTTCGCCGACGAGGCCGCTGCGGAGGTCCTCTCGCAGCTTCTCTCGGAGAGCGATCCTCCCGTCGCTGTCAGCGGTATGGTTTTGAGGCAATGGTACGTGAAGTATCACCCTGACTCTGGACCTTTGCAGTATGACACGGCCGAAAAGCTCAACGCGGCACTTGGTGACCACGTGCGCGCTGTATATCCAGGGCTGAAGTACCACACGTTGCATACCGTGTTGCGTATGCGACGGAAAGCTGTCTTGGTGTCCCGCTCAGTGTTGAGAAAGTGGTGCGATGTGTATGCGTCGGTGGGCGCTTCAGTGCAGGCGGCGGCTTCATCCGCCCAGGCCGTCACCGTGTATCAGCCAGGCAGCCGGGCACCCACGCGCCCGCTCCGCGCCATCGCAGACGACGATGCGTCGCGCCTTTAGTATGCTTCTGGATGCGAAGACCATTCGGTTGAGTTCCTCTACGTGTGACTGGACCTGTTTGCGAAAGCAGGAGAAAGTATGGCACCCCTTTGTGTCCAGAGCCGCGCCGTCTGCGTTCTTCCTTTCTCGCTTCTCTCCTTTCCTCCTTGTCCTGCTCCTCCTCCCCCTCTTCCGCCTTGGAGCCGTATTGGAACTGTCGATGGCCATCTCCCTTTCTCCCTCGCATGTCTGCTTGTACATACGTATAATTTCAGAACTTACCGTGCATGCGATCGTTTACAACATGGTGGACCGTGCGTATGTCACGAACCTTGTATACATGTGTTTCTCTCCCTCCGTCTGGCTGTGCACGCGCGCGTTGGGCACTGAGAGTTAGGATCATAGCGCCATGAGTCTATGAGCAATGCATGCGTCATCCTTGGGACTGTATAACATCAGTGTAACACATGTACTTCTGTAATCGCATCCCCACGAATTTGCCCCAAAAATGTGACCAACTATCTTGGCACTGCGTACCATCTCACGTGTACCGTGTACCACATCATATGTAACAGATGTGATCAACCTCTGTGGGTGTGTACCCCACGCCAGTGTAGTAGCCAGGGTCGTCCGCACGCCACGAAGTGAAGTGTCCCAACGTCATAGGGCGGGAAGCTGGGTGTGGGTGGTCTCGAAGAGTCGTTTGGATATTTGGTAGAGCTTGAACGGCCCCCCCACGAAGTGGGGGTATTGGCTGGTGTCGCAAGAAAACCCTGGCACTGGGGAGAACACTGAGCGTTCGGGTAAAATGATTGTTGTTGTTGTTGTTGTTGTTGTTGTCGTTATTGTTGTTGAACTTTCTGAATAATAATCATTGTTGATCCCCCCCGTCCGGTGCACATTGTATTTTCCATTGAAGTGCCCTTCCTGGGGCTTGCACCCTGTTTTTTATCAGGGAAAGTCTTGAGGGTCAAAATGCGTTGTTGGCCCCTGGTTTACAACAGCGGCTTCCGCTTGATATTTCCTTACAATTTATTGAAGACTCGCGCTCTCGCTTAGGACTTCCTTGCAATTTACCACCAGATCGCGGCTCCCTCTTGACACTTCCTCACAATTTATTGAAGAATCGCGCTCTCGCTTGGGACTTCCTCGCAACTTATCACCGAATCGCGGCTCCCGCTTAATATTTTCTCATAATTTATTCAGATGCCGCTCCTCGACACTCAGGAATCGCGCTCCCGCTACATATTGCCTGGCGGTTCAAGCAAAATTTACGCTTCAACGACCCGCCCCCTCGACCCGCCCGTCTGGGCCTGCCCGCCCGACCAGCCCGTTAGGCACTGCAGTCGCCGCTCGCTGCCCTTCGCCCGCCTTCGATGCCCCTCGCTGCGCGTACTGGTTCCGCGGTCGCCTTCGCTCGCTGCCCTTCGTGGCCTCGTTGCTGCCCTCAGTGGCCCCGTCGCCGCCCATTGTGGCCCCGCATTATATGCCCTTCGTGGCCCCCGCTCGCAGTCGCCCGTCGTGGCCCCATACGCATGCCCTTCGTAGCCCCGCTGTCGCCCTTCGTGGCCCTCTCGCTGCCCTTCGTGGCCCCTTTGCTGCCCTCAGTGGCCCCGCTGTCGCCCTTTGTGGCCCATATACGAGTGCCAATCCGTCCATGGCGCAAGCTGAATCGCCACTCGCAGCGCAAATTATCGTCCTCCCTCCTTCTTGCCCCTCCCCTCCCTTCCTCCGATCCCTTCGTCCTCATTCTCCCCCGTTATCTGTTACCGTTCGTTTTCAAGGCCTTCCAACCACACGTGGCAGGGAATGAATATACCCCCAAAAGGGGTACGATCGAAGACGAAGAGAACGGTTATCCAGGGTTTGGGATATGCATATTGAATGACACGCGAGCAGATAAGAGCGAACAGTCTTAACATGATTGTTGTTGTCGTTGTTGCTGTTGTTGTTGTTGTTTTGTTTTTATTTTTGTTGTTGTTGTTGTTGTTGTCGTTGTTGTCGTCGTCGTCGTCGTTGTTATTGTTGTTGTTGTTGTTGTTGTTGTTGTTGTTGTTGTTGTTGTTGTTGTTGTTGTTGTTGTTGTTGTGGTTGTGGTTGTGGTTGTTGTTGTTGTTGTTGTTGTTGTTGTTGTTGTTGTGGTTGTTGTTGTTGTTGTTGTTGTTGTTGTTGTTGTTGTTGTTGTTGTCGTTAATGTTGTTGCTGATGTTGCTGTTGTTGCTTTTCTCGGTCTCCTTGGTCTCCGGTGGACACGGGCAGGGACGGGAAAGGGCACGCACCTTTGACAGAGTCTCTCGGCGCGGCCGATCGCGACCGGCGCGGGAACGACCAAGCCCGAGGTGCCCTCGGCCGCGTCTGAGCTGCGCTCCGTTGCGACCGGCCGCGGCCGATCCATGAATTGTGGTCGCGGCTGGCTGTCGGGTCGGCACAAACGAAATGGGTACGGAAAGAGTGAGTACGATGCCCAACAGCAGTTCCTATTCATTTTGAACAGGACTTGCTGTCCGCGCCGCCGCGGCCTGTGTCCATTTGAGACAGGAGGCGGCCTGCCCAACAGCGGCCGCTGTTGGCTTGGGACAACATTTGTTGTTGGGCATTATACCCATTTTTTCCGTACCCATTTCGGACGTCCAAATCGGAGAGCGTGTCTTTTGGGCCCCTCTCGGGGCGATCTTTGGCCGTCTTGGGCCCTTCTTTGGGCCGTCAACCCTCTGGGGCCTTCCTGGGGCCCTCGTAGGGGCCTCTCTGGCAGTTTTGCGGCGGTCTACGGGGCCTCTTGGGCCGTCTTCGAGCGTCGGAATCTCAAGAAGACGATAACCACAGAAACAATGAAGCAGCTTCTCGGGGGCCTCTTGGGAAGGCTCTTGGGACCATCGGGGCGTCTCAAAGGCGTTTTGGGGTGTCTTGGATCCATCGTAGGCGTTTCGGGCCAGTCGTTCGGCGATTCGGAGCCATCTTGGAACGTCTTTGAGGCCGCGGAAGGCAAATTCGGAAGCTCTGGAGTTTCCAGGGAAGCGCCGGGGAGCGCCTCACTCCCCCCTCAGAACGAAGCTTTGGACCCTTGGGGAGAGGGAAATTGGGTAAGGAGACAGCCAATCATCTCACACGCCTTCGCACCCTGGGCAAGCGGGGGGTCGGCGGATTCTTACTTTTCGGTCCGTTGCCCTTTTGGCTCAACCTCGCGTATCATTTTGATGCGAGCGTTTCCAGTTAGATGCAGGCCGGATTGACATGTTGTTTTTGATGCGGATGAGGGCGGGAGCGGTTCCGCCTGTGATGTGCACTTCCTCTCCGACGTTGCCCGCAGTGGCTGGCGTCGGCTGTGTACTCGGAGGAGCCGGGTGGCGTGGTGCCCCTGCCTCTGCCTCCTCCCGACCGCCTGCTGCCGCCACAGGCAGGCTATGCGCGCGTATGAGAAACTACATGGGCCTGCATGACTTGACGAATATACCCGTTGGCACTTTTGCCAAGTGCGCGGGCAGTCGTGTCAGGAGCATATTCGTTCCCCCGCTTCCGAAGGGAAGCATCAACGGGAGTGCCTGGCTCGGAGCGTTGAGAACGACGGAGGGGTACCGGGACTGGAGCGTCACAGGGTCGCATTTGAAATTTGGCATGTTTCATGGCTTAGGAAGGCCTTGCAAAGACCTCGTGCGCATAGGACATTCTTCTTGTGGGCTATACGTGAGCACGCCTCAAGGGTGGCATCGGCGACCATCTGCGTATGACTAGAGCGGGGAGCTAAACAGAAGGACACCCCTGATATTGGGGGAGGGTTTATTCCAACATCGTTGATGAGCCTTGGTTTGGTTTGCACTGGTCCTCCTCCTCCTCCTCCTCCTCCTCCTCCTCTCCTTCCCCCTCCTCCTCCTCCTCCTCCTCCTCCTCCTCCTCTTCCCCCCCCCTCTCCTCCCCCCTCCCCATGACCTTGTCTGCTGCACCTCCTCCCCGTCCCCGCGTGTTGGCCGAGGTGTGGATCGATCCGGACGCTGCTGGTGCACGACAACCACCTCGAGAAGCTTCCGGAGTCTCTCACCCAGCTCACAGACCTGAGGCGCCGCCGGTCTGCCCTGCCACGCGGTGGAGGGGAGGAGGGGGGGAGGGAGGAGGAAGAGGAGGGAGGAGGAGGAGGAGGAGGAGGAGGAGGAGAGGAGGAGGAGGAGGGAGGAGGAGGAGGAGGAGGAGGAGGAGAGGAGGAGGAGGAGGAGGAGGAGGAGGAGGAGGAGGAGGAGGAGGAGGAGGAGGAGGAGGAGGAGGAGGAGGAGGAGGAGGAGGAGGAGGAGGAGGAGTGGAGTGGAGCAATCGGACGTAGTCCGTTCGGGAACCCAGAGACGCCAGGGGGGCCATCCAGAATTTCTCGGAGAGCCGTGGGGGGCGACATCCCACGGCACACCGCGACAGGCCCCCCTGGCCTCACAATTTACTCAGAGGCAGCGCCAGCCGCGTGAGAAACGATCGCGGCTTCGGCTGCCGAAACATGCATAGCCTCTAGAACAGACTTGCTGGGACCCGATCTGGACGGATGGAGGCCTCGCCTGATCCTGCTGAGGTTTTCGAGGCCTTTGCCAGTGGGTCCCAGGGCCCTGCGCTCTCCCACTTGGTGGGTGAGAGGGCAAGGGAACTGTAAGCTTTTGACCTGGTGTGTGGCCGTATGGCCGCACTTCACGCAGAAGAACATTTGCCACTTGGGGATGGTGGCCAACGTGTGGGAGGGGTGTATCGCCTTGCCACTGATCACACGGGGACCCCTCGACCACAGCACCTCGCCACACGCAGCAAACTCGGGAAGGGGGCAAGGCGGTACACACTCCGTGGCGGCGGCTGGAATAACCTGGCAAGCATCGACGATGATGAGGCAGGCAGAGCATCGCCATTTGTCTGCACACCGCTCGAATTTGTGCTGTGAAGCCGCGATCGCGGTCTGCAACAGAGAACGAGGGGCTGCCTCCTGCGTGGGTTGCCTCTCTGGCCACAGTCCTCGAGGCTCTGAATTCTTTCCTAAGGAACGTAGGATTAGTCGTGCCCGCTGTCGGACAATCGCTGCGATAGCATCGTATTCGTCAGTCCTGGGCACAGGCGGGAGGGCAAGGGTGGCCGACTTGTGGGCCGCGCTTCCCGCAAGCTCATCGGCTTGCTGATTGCCGAGAGCTAGGAATTTCTGAAAACCGTGAAGAGTCTGGGGATCGGCATGAGATGGGGTCCAGAGCACCGTGACCGAGGAGACGCCGCAAGGTCGATCCTGCACGAGATGCCGAATTCTCAGCCAGAGATCTCCATTCTTATTCTTACCTCTGAGGCTGCCTGGCCTGAGACATCTGCCATTCTGCCAACCACGCTGCAAGGCTAGGTGGTCGGTAACAAACGTGAAATCCTGATGGCACGTCTCTAGTGCCAGGCAAAACGCATATAATTCTCCTCTTGGGACGGTCTGGCGGGGGCCTGGGAGGGGGGCAAGGAGGCCCGCGGGGAGGGTCCAGGAGGCCGAGGGAGGGTTCCAACGGAGGGCCGCGAGGCCAGATCCGACGCGACGTCGCCTGACGTCGTCAGAAAAGGCACCGCCAGACCCGTCACCAAAAAGAAACAACTCACCCTCTGCGTTACGAGCACCTTCCCAGGGCGGCAAACCCTCCCGCACCGCACCAACAAACTCCCACCCGTCCCTCCCAGTCAATGGCTCGAACGTGGGCGTAGTGAGAGCAACAGAGGGAATGCCGCGGAGCCACAAGGCGGGGTCGGCGTCGGCCCCCGCCAAGGCTCGCGGCAGTAGCTTGTCGCTGGCCTCAAACTCGGGTCCAACGTTCGCCTCGCACTGCCACATTCGGTGAAACAAGGTTTCAGGAACTCCAGCGCTGCAGCGGTCGCAGTTCCTGTCGATCTGGTAGCCCGCGTTGTGGAGGCGGTCTCTGGTCCACTGTCCTCCGCTGATGATGGTGTTGTTGAGGGCCCAGTCGCTGAAGTCGCCGTTTGCGAGGAACCTCCTTTGTTCAATGCGGATAGTGGCCATGTCTGCGCCTCCAGCCAGCGTGTCTCCATGGGCATGCGTAGCGGCCTGCGTCCAGAGGAGCCTGTGTAAATCCTCGCTGAGGTCCTGCAATGCTGTGTGAATGTCGGCGTCGGGGAGGTCGGGGTCGTCGGCAGGGGGGAGGTTCCACTCCTCGATGTAGCCGTCCTTCGTACGCCTCCACTTGGTAGCTGAGGTCGGCTCCCAACTAGCCTCCAGCAGGGTCGCGATGGCCGCGCCTGTGGGGCCCTTGACCTTACACCACAGCTTGGGGCCAGCGGAGCAAGGTGGTCTTGATCCTTGGCCAGGCTCTGATGATCCTGGCGCGCGTGCTCGGGTGGCGTATCCAGTGCTGAAGCCAAGTTTTGATGAACTCGATCCTTAGGGAAACTCCTGGGTCCATGCCGTCAAAAGTGGCGCCGAGGAGGGAGGTGAGGCATCGGCCTGCGGCAGCGCCCGTGGCTGCAATGGCGGCCTGACGCCGCCAGCGTAGTAGAGCGTGCCGATCGAGGCCGTGAACCTGATGACCGAATACTCCTTCTGGGAGAGCACCAGTGCGCCACAGTCCAGCTGAGATTCGGGCCTGCTGTGCAGTGCTCCGTAGTCGGTGTATCTTGCGAAACCTGGCTGTGGCTGAGATCTGTCGCTTCCTGGCTCTGGCTTGTACACGTCGAGTAGCCGCGGCCGCGTCAACTCCAAGGTCGACGGCCGTGGAGGTCGCAGTAACTGGGATGTCGTACTGTCGCATCTTCTTGGCTAGCGAGTGGCGGACCTTGGGAGTGGAGCCAATGAGGACGGTCTTGTCTGAGATAGGCAGCTCGAACTCCTTTAATCCGTCGCAGAGCGTCCTGGCGGCACGGGGGAGGTGCTTCTGTAAAGCACGTAGGACTCCTTCGACTCGAAGAACAGTGTCGTCGACGAAGGTCCACATCTGGGCAAGCTCTGCCTGAGCTTGGGCTTGTCGAAGAGTTGCTAGCAAAATAAGTCGTGCCAGGGTGGTGCCGTGAGGGGAGCCTGCAATGATGCCTTTGGAGGCGAAGATAGGCATACTCACCCATTGCCGACTGCGCAAGAATCTGGGCGCCAGGTATAGCTGTACCTCCAATAATAGAATGATGGGAGGAAAGCCGCAGTTGAGGCCGACCATGATGAGGTTGGCGAGCTTGATATTGTCGTAGAACTTCTGGATGTCTAATAGCAAGGTGGCCGACTGTATGCCAAGTGCTGAGGCTGTCTCGTCTAACAAGGCCCTATATAGGGCGGCTTGGAGAGCTGAAGAGCCTTTGATGGCTGTGGTCCAAAAGTCGTCCAGACCTTGCGTCCAGGCTGCCGATGCGGTAGATCCAATGCGAGACCAGAGTCTGGCCATATGAGGGAGCATGCCGAGGACCCTGTCGCCTCCAGACTTCTTGGCGGCGAGAGCTGCGATGGTGCCTGAAATTTGTAGTGGCCAGATGCCTGCTTGCTCCGCTGAGTTGAGGATATCTGCATAAGCTTCGACTGCTGGTTCTGGTAATCGATGGAGGTCGCGAGGTCCTAGGGCGTCAACTCCGTGTGCTTTACTGGGTGGCATGCAGCCGTGAATGCGGTGTACGATCTCGGCTGTGATGGGCTCGAGCGGTTGATGAGCAGCTGCTGCCTTGGCCTTTGACAGGGCCTGGAGGATGTCGTCGGAGGTCTCAGTGGCTTGCAATACTTGCTGCCATTGTTGCTTCTTGTTGTCCATGATGACGGTGGGGTCAGCGATGGTCAGGTTGGCCGTGTAGGCCTCGATGTGACGTGCGGGTGCTGGCTTGACATGGGCGTGTAGTACTCCAGGGCGGTGCTTCCATTGCTGGGCGAGCCAAGCCCCGTAGGCCCTCTTGGACTTGGCGAGGGCGGCCGAGAGGGCTCTGGAGGCCCAGGTAGCGGTAATGGTGACCAAGTCGTCGGTGTCATCCTTGTCCAGGTGCGGGGCCCAGACGAGCGCAAACCAGCGGAAGATGGTGTCCTCATCCTTCTCGAACTGAAGGTCGTGCATGTGAGTGTTGAAGTGGTCCGCGCGCTGCTGGATGATGGTGGCCTGCTGCTGCATAAGCGCTGTGTGCTTGGGCTTGTCGTGAAGCGCGGCGTAGCGCTTGATGAGGGTGAGCGTAATTGCCCACCATTCCGAATGTGGGTCGTGTACGTGTACGCGGCCTGGGGCAGCAGCTGTCTTCTTCCAAGATAACTGGTAGCCCTGAGCTCGGCCAGTGTATGCTGCAGCTTCCTTCGGGTCAATCTGGTGGTGGCTGATCATGGTGTTCTCGAGCGCCGTGACCCATTTGGCGTACTTGAGGTTGAGGACGTCGGCGTCGTGCACCCAGTGTCTGTACACGAAGTGCGCGTGTGGCTGCTTACAACGTGTGGGTACCGCTTCCTGCCATTGTTTTTCCCACATGTCCATCGGGATGGCATAGGGGATAGGTTCCTGTGCTGCGGGCTCGTCTTGTGGCTGAAGCTGTGCTGCTGCTTGTTGGAGTTCAGGAGGTAGATCACGGAGACGTGCTGCTCGAGCTTCAGCTGTTTTACGTTTCTTGATGGCGGTCTTGCTGTTGGGGTCTGGCGGAATCCTGGGTCTGTCCACTATGGGGAAGGACTTGGGGGTATCGATCGACTGATACCACCAGGGGTCTGCACTGCCTGCTCGAACTTCAAGGCCAACGTGGGTGGCCCAGGGTACTGTGGGGCACTGGCGAATGGAGATCGTGTGCTCGATGCCAGTCTTGACCAATGCGAAATCAAGCGTGAGTCCCTGGCCCTTGTCGCAAGTGGCGGATCCAGGTGCTCGCACGATGGTAGCATTCCATTTGGCGAGCCACTCTGTCGCTGCAAGCTGCTCAGGTGTCATGTTCCAATCGGCCAGGATGATCCAAGGGTCTGTGAGCATAGTAACGAACGCTCCCAGCGAAAGTAGCTTATCGTGTACTGCACCCTCGATCTGCCTGTGGGGTTCCAGATACGCGGCAATAACAACCAAGTTGCCAGAACGTCTGTGCCATACCATGGGCGTGAAGCCGAGGAACGGGTCAGGC